CTCTCTCTCTCTCTCTCTCTCCTATTTCATGCTTCAGTGCCTTTATTCATCAATCATCAGTTGGTCCACAAATATTTTTTTAATGCAATGGCACCCATTGCTCTTTTCTTAATATATCAGTTAGGAATTACATTCAGCTGTTAACTACAGTGACTTAAATAAGTTAGTAGGTTTTTTCCCCCCCTCAATGTAAAAGAAATTCACAAGTGATAACTTCATAAAGTTATCAGGGTCCAAGGCTTCTACTTTTTTCTCATTGGTCAGAACTGGGTCAGAGGGTCATCCTCGGGTGTAAGGAAGGTATTCGGATGTTTGGTATCTGCTCCAGCTAGTTTAAAAAGAAAGAGGCTTATTATAGACTAAAGGCCCAGTACATGAATTTTGTGCATGGGTGGGGTCCCTATGCCTGGCTGGCAATCAGAGCCGATTGGGGTCAGGCATCACTTTCGAAGGAAGCTCTGCTTCCTTTTACCAAGGGAAGGGAGGGCTAATAGAACCAAAGTGCTTATTCCTTAAAGTGGTCATAAACCTTGAGTGGGGCTCACATGATTGGGGAGGCCAGGAAGACCAGACCAGCAGATACTGTTTCTGTCTTGGGTCAAGCCATTCTCAACAGCACTGTCACTCGAGACATCGTCCAGCCCCTGGTCTTGGTGGTCTGGCCAGAGAGGGAATTAGAGCCACCTGAGCCTGGTCCTTCCTGAGCCCCAATGCAGCTGCTCTCACCCTCTCAGGCCATGTGTGGCCCAGAATTAGCAGATTTTTTGTTGTGGTGGCTTCATCCTGAAATCAGTTCTCGTTTTCAAGTCAGTCTCTCCTCTGTGTCTCACAATATTACACTTCTAGCCCGATTGGACACTGGCGGGACTGGCTTCCTCTTTCTGGAAGGAGGATCTGAGAACAGCTTCCCACCTCCCATCTCCCTTCTCTTCCTCTCCTTTTTCTGCCATTGCAAACCACCTTTTCACTCGGTTATAGTCTACCTTCCAAAGTGACTCTGATATAGGGGCTTAACAGTTAGCAAGAGGCAAAGATGAGCTGCACACAGAATAAAAAACAATCTTGCACAGGTCTTTAAAAAAATACAACTAATTAAAAAATGTTTTAAAATAAATTCTTATTTAGACCTTACATTGTTTTAATGCCCCTCATTTTCCGATGGCCATCAAAATGGACACAAGTGATTTAAGTCCAATCCCCAGAGCTCCCCATGGACCTAATTTTTGGTCCTGAGAGGGCAGGAGGGCAGGAACACATGAATTTCTTCAGTAACATTCATATGCACAGGAAATGACTATTGACATAATCTTTAAACCTAATAGTTAAGTTTATTCTTCAGTTTGTAATTTAAAAGCTTCTGACAGCTAAATGCTATGGTATAATTTATAATGAAAGAGTTTGAGTGATTGAGGTGTATTTCACTGAGCTGGTTTCTCTTATGAGTTGAAACTAAGACTTGTGTAAACATAGGGAGGGAAGCCCTTCCCAGGTTTATATAGTTAAGCAAGAATACTTTAATGTCCCTTATTCCCAAATGTGCTGCAGTACCATCTGGGCTGTACTCAAAGTTCACAGGAAGCAAATCTATAGGATTTAAAGGGGCATTAATTTTTTTTCAATGAAACAGTCATGTATAAGACCACCATCTACCAGTATATAATAAAAGTACACATTATTTGAAATATACAATTGTGTAATATTTCCCTAGTGTGTACCATGGAGAAAGACACCGATAGTATACTGCTAACTGTAAATAATTTGGGAAACTATAGATATCACAGAACTACTCTTTTTATTACCAAGTAATGTGAACATATATCCCCAATTTTACCCCAAACACCCACTAACACTGTAGGACTTTTATTTTCCACTTCATTCCTTTTTATTATTTACTTTTAAAAGGATATATATATATATATATATATATATCCTTTTAAGATAGCTTATTGATGTATAATTGGTGTACAATAAACTGCATTGTTTTTTTATAATCAGAAAAAGAAATAAAAATATTTTTAAGGTCTGTTGGAATTCATGCCTCTAAAAGGGCATTTCCTTCTCCCCCAAAATTATCATTATAAAGGAATTTAAATGTATCTCATATCACTGAGAGAGCTGAGTGAACTGACAGATATTTACCTTACAACCGAAACCGGTTTGGCTCAATGGATAGAGCATTGGCTTGGGGACTGAAGGGTCTGGGGTTCGATTCCGGTCAAAGGCATGTACCTTGGTTGCGGGCACATCTCCAGTAGGGGGTGTGCAAGAGGCAGCTGATTGATGACTCTTGTCGATGTTTCTAACTCGCTATCTCTCTCCCTTCCTCTCTGTACAAAATCAATAAAATATATATTTTTTTAAAATTTACCTTACAGATTATAGAATGTTGTGATCCAAATATGCCCCCCTCCAATCTTTATACTTCATTAAAAAAAATATAATGAGCCTAAACCGGTTTGGCTCAGTGGATAGAGCGTCAGCCTGCATGCGGACTGAAAGGTCCGGGGGTTCAATTTCGGTTAAGGGCATGTACCTTGGTTGCGGGCACATCCCCAGTAGGGGTGGGCAAGAGGCAGTTGATCCATGTTTCTTTCTCATCAATGTTTTTAGCTCTCTATCCCTCTCTCTTCCTCTTTGAAAAAAAAATCAATAAAATGTTTATATATATATATATATATATATATATATATATATATATATATATATAATGAAGCTAAAGCCAAGTAGATATCCACTAGAAAGATTTTCAAATCTACCTTCATCATTTGTTAACTAGGCACAGAGACAGATGCAAATTTAACAGACTAAATTAATTTTCAATTAGTGCTTTATTTTAGTAATATCCTTTATCCTAAACATGCACTATTAATGAAAACAGCATACTCCGGTGAACTTTTGGGTGAAAACATGCAATTTCTCTGATATTTTCCAACTTACCAAAATCCGTTAGCATATTTAGCAATTTACAAGAAGTTATAAAAACCCATGACAGAAATATTATACTTTGGCATTAAAACATTTATAACCTGACAAGAAGAAATAAAAAGTAATACTCTAAAAGGCGAAGTAACTATTTAATAATGATTTAGAAAAGTCTGATAATCAACAAAAGTCATAATTTCCCCCAAGTAAATGCTTTAAACACTGTAGCCAAATAGATTAGCAAGATAGCCATTTTTCTGAATTCCTCCTAACAAATGTAGTGTTTATAGTTCATTTTCAGGTAACTTTAAAGAAGTTTTGATTTTATTCCTTAAAAGATTATTCTTAGCACTTTTTTTAATAGTGAATGGCTGAATCCATAACTCATTTTACTTTTTATCTATTTCAATGTTGCATGAGTAAATATATTCACAAGTGTTTAAATATACAAACATTTTGCTAAATATTAATATGTACAGAGTTTTGATTAATACATTTTTTTAAAGACATACTTCCGTCACATTACAAGGTGATATTCACAGTAAAATAATGAAAGTTACAAACTATCAAATATGAGCCAAAACATGCTGATGTTGGCTGAGTGAATTAAATGGTAATTTTTGCCTTAAATAGTCTTTTACTTCATTTCATTTCCAAAAGCTTAAAGAAAACTGAGGAGAAAATAAACTGGTGGTTCAACTGCAGTATTAATTCAGCCAAGCCCCTTACTATGTCTTTCTGTTTGCTAATCTTGGATCAAATTCAGCAACTTGCAAACAGGGTCACTGAGAAATAAATGAACTTTACATTTGGAACGTGGAATAATAGAAGACTGAGTAAAAAACAAGGGAAAGAAAAAGGAAATCTAAGTCAGCAAAAACCATGACAAAAGATAGTGGAGATTTTTTCCCAGGTGTTTAAAGATTCAGTATGTTCCCTGACCATTACCTCCACCTCATGGCACCTCGTGTGCAATGTGGTAGGAGAGGCCCGGGGCAGAGGGTCTCCCAGGCTGTGTGTGCTCCTTGGGGCAGGTTCAGGAGAGCCTGCTCTGGCCCAAGGTCTCTCAGGGTGGTCCTTAGACCCCCTCGAGGCACTCATCAATGCCAGAACTCCCAAACCAGACAGGACGTCTCCCGTTTCATAATGGCCAAATAGGTAGACTGTGACCCCAAGCTGACAAGGGGAGAAGGAGCCCGGCCAACGCTGTGACCGAGGGTCCTTAGGCTCACTCTGTAGGGTGGCTGCAACCAGACCTACTCAGCTAGCCCAGGACCTGAGAGAGAGTAGGGAGGCTATGGAGTGACCGGGAAGAGGGGGAGGAGCCCTGCTGCCCAGTGACACCCATCTGGCTGCAGGGATTTCCAAGACCACCTATAGTTTGGAAATATAATTAGATACTTAGTAATCCTCTAGGATGGAGGGGCAAGCCCTGTCCTATGAAGCAAACAATTACTTTTCCTTTTTGTTTGAAGCAAACACTTTCTAATATTCCAAACAAGTTTTCTAAGAGGGAACAATAACTAGATATAGAAATTACTGCATCATTATATTACCTCAGCAGTCTTTTCACACATAATTAGCTGAAACTGAATACATTTCAGTTTATTTTCACACCTCCCAATTGAAATGGCTTCTTAGACCAACTTTAAGATGGACTGGTTTTTACAAAAATGAAATACTGGTATGTTACATATACAGCTTTTTATTTTTTTAAACTAGAAACACTTATTAATAGATACCAGCTTTTCAGTTTATAATAAATACACTACAGAGTGTATGCATTCTATGGATATATATACAGTTTTTTGCATTTGTGTGTTTCTTTTTTCCAATAGTTTCTTTTCTCCTGCATTATATAGTAGTGACTACCTCTCAGGATAGATAAGCTGTGTTTTATTCAAGACCATTTCATATTTATTTAGATTAGATAGATAAATCTGAAAACTCAACTGCGGATTCATATGTAAACTTTCAGAAACGATGTTTGTTGTGTCTGACGTAATAAATATAGAATTATTTCATAGTATTTAAAAACAATGGACACCACTTTCTTTCAGCACCCATCAGGGGACAGCCTAAGGCTGTGAGTCTGTTGGAATATTGCCATGATTTGCTTTTTCTCCAGAGACAGAATGCTTCAGAAACTGACCAGTAGCACCAATGTATAATCTTGATCGCATGGGCCATTTCTGAAAAAGAATATTTAAGCAAGAATCTAAAAGTTAGTATTTATGGCAGTTATAATCTGTAACAATAAAAATAATAATTCCAAATACTTCAATGCAAATGCAATCTTACATAGCTATAGCTAGTAACAATTGTAATTATGAGGTCTAAATAAATGAAAAAATATTTATTAATGCTAACAATAAAAATATATCCAGACTTTGATCATAACCATATAAAATAGTATTGTGCATGTGGGCAAGAAATCATGGATAATGAATATAATAACTAGGAAAATTTACCCACAATGTTTTAATTGCAAACTAAGCCTAAAATAAGTTCCTTGGCTTTAAAGATATTTTTAATAGTTATACATGGTAGGTGCTCTCTTCTGTAGCACATGTACTAAAATTAGAATGATACAGAGAAGATTAGCATGGCTCCAAATTCATGAAATGTTCCATTTTTTTTAAAAAATTTTATACATGGTAAGTACTATCTGTCTGCACTTGTTAAAGAACCACAGTGTAAGATGACTAATTCAACTATCTAAACATTTTATCTAGCTAAAAGCAATATCTGGAAGTTATAAATATTAAAATGAGACAGAACATCCAGATTAAATGTCTGGATATATTGGCATCACACAACTTGAATCTTTCAGTAATCATCACATTGTATTCTAATTTGTGACTTTTTCTAAATTCACCTTTAAAATGAACAACCTTTCAAACAATATAATGTATTACCAAATAGGCATGGTAATGGAAAACCCTATTACATAAGTAGCACTCTCAGAATGGACCTCTCATTTTTGAGAGGGTGGTGTCATATAATCAGCTTAGTTCTAAGGTCCTTGAAATACTAAGGGTTAAAATACTTTGAGTTAACCAAAAAGTGCATTAAACAGACCATTTTTATTTGCATTAGATTAACCAAAGATAGATTTAACAGTTAAACATTTTTGGTAGTGCCTATAAAATAATGTGTGATGGTTCCAATTATGAATATAAAATCTCTTTCCTCTGAGTCTCCACAACATATGATTATGGCTCTCTTAGGCACATACAACATTCTCCCTTAGACCGTTGCCTCTGGGTTCATTCAGGGCAGGGATTGAGCTCACTCTTAACTGTATTCACTCTGCTAACACAGTGCTCTTTGCAATAGTAGGCATTCAGTAAATGATTTTAAAACAGACTAACCAGTTAGTCACTTGTTCAACCATCAACAATTTCATTAAGAGGTAATCTTTGACCTTGTTTTATTACCCCTAGCGTTGTCTTTTAAAATCAAAATAATTCAGAGGACAAATGAGATTTAGTTTTTCCTAAAGAGTTACAGTACTACAAAAACATTTGGTACATGAATTAAGTGCAAAAAAAAAAACACCCAAAAAACAAACAAACAAAAAACACTACTTCTTGTTAAGCTTATTGTTACCTGAAAATTATGGTTCTAATGTTATTCAAAAAAGCACTGCAAGAAACTAGAGTGAAAAACAACTTGATTTATCATCTGAATTACATCTCTCACAAAGAGGCATTTAACAGATGCTTTTTTATAGTGAAGTCTACTTAATATTTAAAATGTCAAGTAAAACAATCTATTATTAATATATATTTGAAAGCAATTTAATGCACACCATAGTATAAACCCCTTAATAAGAAATGTCTTCAGACACGACCGATTTAGGGAAGGAATCTGGTGGCTAAGGAGGATGGTGTAGGTGACAGTTGCTATGTGACCATTTCCTCCCGCCCTTCCCATCTCTGGACAACTCTACCTATTATTCTTTGCTATGGCTATCGAGGTATTTTCCCTCTGCCTCACTCCTTACATGCCTTTACTCTGGGATCCTATTTTGGGCCTGAGGTGGGGGCACTTGGGATTGGTCTTAGGAGGGAGGTTGTAGACTGCCTTGTAACCCCCCTGGACACCCTCATATGGGTTTTTCTGTGTTATTTCATAAGACACACACACACACACACACACACACACACACACACACACACACACACACACACACACACATATATATATATATAAACGCAAGGAAGAAATCTTATTATTTATAAGAAAAAAAGAAATGACTTTTGAGCTGAGAATGTTAAACAGGGTGGGGCAAAAGTATGCTTACAGTTGTGAGTATGCCTAACAGTTTATTCTTACATTATTATTTATTATTGTATTATTTTCCAATTGAACAACTGTGAACCTATTTTTGCTCTACACTGTATATAACAAATGAATGGAATGGGAAATTTACAATTATAAATAAATGATATTTAAATTTTTATATTTAATATTTAAAATAGTGTTAACCTGTAATCATGCTTATTATACCAGGTATTTGCAAAGTAAATTTTGTTATGCCTCACCACAGCATTTAAAGGTCAATTAGTATTAGAGGGTGTACTTTTTAAACACATTTCTTTTTTTTTAAACACATTTCAATAATGATTATTCAATAACTTATTGAACACTGATATACTTAAGACTAACTCATAACTGTGTGTGTGTGTGTGTGTCCAAATATTTCAGAATGGTAGAACCAAAAATTTGAAAGTTTAGTTTTAGGTTTAGGTTTAGGAAATATAAGGAAGATTTCATATTTTGAACAGAAACCAGATGAATTTTTTTAAAAAAATCAAGTCTAGGTGAAAATAACAATTCAGAGTCTAAATACTTTGCAATCTACCTATATGTAATGTAAAAAAAATTATACAAAACGGATTCTCCTATCTTTTTACATTACAGAATTTGAATATAATATTAAGAACATTCAATGAATATGCCAATTTATTATACAGATTACATAAACACATTTTAGTTTTTCTAACACTCTTGGTGGCTGCCTAGTCCATGATCCGTTAATCTTTATTAAAACGTACTGAAATATACTTTGTGGTGATGCAAAACGGTCTTATTTTGTTCTTACCAATTTTACAAAAAATTTTCCACACTGGTTTCCTAGGATTACTAAGGGACAGATAACTCCATTACCCCATAGTTCATAAATATTTCATGAAACTTTTTAAACAGCTGGTAAAACGACAATGGAAATGTAATTATGTAAATTAAAATACTTAAAACAAAAAAAAGGCTCATAAATATAACTCTGATTGTAAAAATTACCAGGACGTGCAACCAAGCATCTCATCAGGCACCCGAGAAACCTCTCACCGGGAAGGGGCATCCTGTGGGTTGCATCCTCTAAGGAGCGTGAGACTCCCTCCAGCAACCTCTGGCTTTAAACCTGCGAACAGTTAAGCAGCGGGGACCTCGAGGGCCAAGTTCCCTCGGCCGATCTGTTACCCTCTCTGGGTGCGGGCTCGGAGGCATCTGCCCAGGTGCTGGCAGACCGGGCGCCCCGCTGCCCACCGGTGTGCCCTGGCCCTCCTACCTTGACGGGGTGCAGGTAGCCGTCGCCACGCAGGGCGCCCAGCCCGGGGTCCGCCGGCGCCTCGGCGTCGCCCTGCAGGCTGCGGGTGAGGTGAGCGATGTAGGTGGTGGCCAGCAGCAGCACGTCCAGCTTGGACAGCTTGGTGTCGGGCGGCACGGACGGCAGCGTGCGCTGCAGCTCCAGGAAGGCGTGCCGCAGGGTCTGCACCCGGCTGCGCTCCCGCGCCGCGTTCGCCGCCGCCGGCCTCCCGCCGCCCCCCGAGCGCCCGCCGCCGCCGCCGCCCGCGCCCGCCGGTCCCGGCCCGGGCAGCCCGGGGCTGGAGTCTCGGGTGGAGGAGGCGGCAGGGGGCGCGGGCTCGTGGTCGGAGATCAGGGGGCTGCCCGCGGGGCCGCAGCGGTCCATGGCGCCGTCCCGGGTCGCGCGCCCTGCAAAGGACCCGGGGCGCCGTGAGCAGCGGGGGCCCCGGTGGGGCTACCCCGGGGGGAGCAGCCCGCTCGCTATCCCCGGGACGGGCTTAGCGGGGAGGATGCTTGGGTTGCAGCGCGTTTGTCCCCGCGTCTGGGAAGACTGGGGCCTGAGAGTTCCTGGCTCCCTAGCAGGCAGAGGAGGGGCGCGGGGCGCGGGGCGCGGGGCGCGGGGCGCGGGGCGCGGGGCGCGGGGCGCGGGGCGCGGGGCGCGGGGCGCGGGGCGCGGGGCGCGCTTGACTTTTCTCGGACAATTTAAGCGAAACTACTGCTCTGTCGGGGAAGGAAGCTCGGGTTCAGCACTTATCCGCGCTTCAGGAACGTTAACCTGCCCGCCCCGCAGGAAAGATAGTGCCGATCGCTTTCGCGGAGAAGGATACGCACGGCCGCCGCCCCCGTGCCAGTAGGTCCCGGTGCCCGGGACCCCGGGGCGACGGCGGGAGCCCAGGTCTTTTCTGCAGGATGGGTGGGGGGCCCCGGGCTTCCCCTCGGACTTCGGCATCTGCTAACCTCCGGGTGCCCAAGTACGAGGTGAAGCCAGCGGCGGGGGTCGGACCAGGGCCTCACCTTTCCGGGAGCGGCCGTGCGGCGCTTTGCGCAGGGCGTCGAGCCGGGTCAGCGTGGCCGGGCCGCGCTCCTCACTCCATCCCGGCTCAGCCCGAGTCGACGGCCGCTTCCCGCTCCCACCGGGTGGGAGCGCCTCCCAGGCCGGCGTCCGGAGGCCGGGCGTGCGGGCTGGCCGAGCCGGAGTCCTCCTCACGACAGCGCGACCCGCCGAGGCGCGCGCCCACCTGAGGGGCAGTCCAGGAGGGGCTGCGTCGGGGCAGAGCCACTTCCTCCGCCGCGGGAGAGCCATTAATCAAGCCGCCGCGGGGCAGGGCCAGAGGGGGCGTGGTCAGGGGCGGGGCTTCCTGCCGTCCGGGCCCTCGGGGCACTCCGCGTTCCGCGCCTGCAGAGTGGGAGGCCGGGCGACCGGAGTCCGGGCTCCGGAGCCGCAGCGCGGCTTCGCGGGTCACCGGTGGGCGTCCGGGCGCCTTCCAGGAGCTCTGACGTTCCATGGGGCGGACCTTCACTTTTCCGTGAGGCAGTCAGTGTTTCTTTCCCACCAGGTAAATGTTTCCCGTGGTCCCGAGGACCGAGAGCCCGAGCCCCACCTTCGCGCTCCGGGACGCGTTTGCGAGCCGCGCCGCCACGAACCGCACTCCCTCCCGAACGCCCCGCAGTCGGGGCGACTTCAGGAGATCCCCCCACACCTGCCCCGGCCCTGGGGTGGCGGTCGCTTCTCCCTGGGTGGAGACCCTTCGCGGCCACCCGATGCCCCCGGGGGCGCCGCTTGTCCTATTCGGGCGTCAAGTGCGGGAGTCCCGGCCGCGCCCCCCGCGGGGAGCTCGCCAGGCGCCTGGCGCGCGGGGACCCCGGGGAGCGTGCGGCCGGGCGGCCCTGCCCCGGCGCTCCGCTCCCCACCCGGAGTCTGAGTGCACGCACGTTTTCTAGCGACTAATCTATAGAACATCCTTGAAACGGTGCCTATACAATTCGAAGAGCAGGACATTGAAAATCTTTTTTGAAAAAATAAAATCTTTTTGAGGGGGTCAAGACGAAATAACAAATTCATGATGCCATCCATGACTCTGCTCTTGTATACGCGACACAGTTTCATACTTTACAACACATTTTCACATTGGAAGTACCAAATACTACACAGTAACAGTGGCATTTGAATGTATCGTTCCACACTTAGGTTATATTCGTGAATCAGAATAGTCCTCAGGCCTCTATGTCGTTCAGTAACTGTAGTTAGATGTACTTTAGACAGAAGCACGCCAAGACACCATTGGTTCAAAAAAAAAAAGGATTCCTTTCTTACGAGTGAGAAAGCACATCTTTATTTTGCCAGTAAGTGATATGTAATGAGGAATAAAACAACTGGAAAGCAATGCTTCAGATTCAATAAAGAAGCAAATTAGACAAGAACTTAAAGGTTTTTCTCATATAATAATATATCATAAAGATACAACCACAAAAGTTGATGTTACCTAGTTCTATAAAGGTGAAACACCCCACCCCAAAACACACACACACATACACACACACACACACACACACATACACATACACACACACACACACACACACACACACCAAACACCAAAACGCTTCAGGCCTCTTAAGACTGAATTGACATGTTCTTTTTACAAACAAATTTTTTTACTTTTGGATTATATAGACGGTGAAAGTAGGTTCATGCTCATCACTTTTTGTCAAAACATTTCAGATTCCTTCAGAGAGATTCCTGTTAATAGAAGGGGGAAAACTTAATGTTAAATTATTTCAAAAATGAAAGTTATTTAAAACAGGTAGCAAACATAGAATCTAGGAAACAACAGCAACAGTAAAGTCTAATGATTAGTCACCAAACTATGTAAATCTTTTCAGAATTTCAAGAATGGAGAAACAAAGATTTATTGCCAGGGCAGGGAAGAACAGGAAACTCTGAGTTGGGAGAGGTGTGAAAATGGAACATTGGAGGGGAGGTGGGACAAGCTTAGGGTGAGGCTAATTAGGTGCCTGGGACAAAAAAAAAATTGCATCCTTGGCATCTCCAATCCTCACCGTAACCCACACTGTGAGGTGGCATGGAGGGGGCACCATGGTAGCTAACAATGGCTGGACCAAAGAAAGGACTGAAGTAAAAAGTACAATGACTGCCAGCCACCCCCTTTTCTTATCTGCTGCCACTCTAAGTAGGTTCTCTGAATCCTCTGATGACTCTAAATTAGTCCAATTCATGCAAGAAACCAGTTTGCAGTTAAATTAAAACTAGATGGGGAAGAGGAAAAAAACATTTAAAAGATAAAAGTGTTCAAATTTTCAAGATTACATAAATTGGTAAATCTTATTTAAAACTTTATGTGTGCTGTGTTTTACAAAAAGTACTATATTGCCCTAGCTGGTTTGGCTCAGTGGATAGAGCATTGACCTGTGGACTAAAGGTCCCAGGTTTGATTCCAGGCTGCAGGCTAGATCCCCAGTGGGGGATGTGCAGCAGGCAGCCAATCAATGATTCTCTATCATTGATGTTTCTATTTCTCCCTCTCCCTTCTCCTCTTTGAAATCAATAAAAAAATATATTTTTAAAAGTACTGTATTTTCTATTTGGTCTTTACGAAAATGCTTTGAGAATTTTACATTTTACAGTTGAGAAAATAAAGCTCAGAGGGATTAAGTAATTTGTCCAAGGTCACACAGCTAGTAAGTGGGCACAGGCAGGATATAAGCCATGTAGATTGACCCTGATGCTTATGCTTTTTACCATTCTATTCTATTTACTATTTGTAGAGTTCTTCATAATCTGCAAAAACACTTTTGAATCTATTATCTCAATAAAGGGCCTGTTTTAACTGGATTCATTAATAATCCAGATACTATTTTCATAGTATATCATTCTGAAGTTCTTGTCTAGGATCCCAGAAAGTACATGGCGTTAGAGTGCTATAAATTTTACTTCACAGAATGTGATGTATGTCTTGAAATTATACTTGTCTTTTTTCTAAATATGTCAAATTACTCGCCATCTTAATTCACTGTTTTTATAATGTAAAATAATCACACAGCGGTGAAGATGATATATTGCTTAATTATATATATGTATATATTATATTACAAAAGGTTTTATATATTATGCGATAGTTGGTGCTTTTCTTCACGTTTACACTCTTTCCCTCATTATTTAAGATGTAATTTACATAGTTAAATTCATTATTTTGACAATAGTTGAACAAGTTTTGATAAGTCATATAACCACCACTACAATAAAGATTTGCAGTATTCCTCCCCATCAGATTCCCTTGTGCTTACCCCTAGCCTTGGCAACTACTAATCTGTTTTATGTCTCTATGGTTTTGCCTTTGCCAGAATGTCTTAGGGTGATACAGTCTGTAGCCTGTAAGTCTGGTTTCTTGTGTGGGTATAAGTCCATTTCACTTTAGAAAATACCTAGGAGTAGGACTGCTAGATATGGTCAGTAAATGTTTAACTTTATAAGAATGTCAAACTATTTTCCAAAGTGGCTGTACTATTTTTGCATTCCCACCAGTAATGCCTGAGAACTCCAGTTGTTCCATATCCTCGCTAGTATTACCATATTTTATTTTTATTTTTATCTATTTTAATAGATATTCTTAAGGGGGAAAAAAGATGCAATAATTTCAAAATTAGATGATTTCACAATCTAGATATCTTGCTTGCCAGCTGCTATCTCAAGGTGAGCATATATGCTTGGCTACATTGCTTTGGAGCCAAGTACCTGCAGCTGCCTTTAGTGGGACATGTGCTCTCCAATTCATCTCAGTGACAGCTCACCGACTTCCCTCACTTCCTTCAGGCTGATGCTCTATCCACTGAGCCAAACCAGCGAGGGCTGTCCCTCACTTCCTCTACCTGCCTATACCTGGGAGTGTTTTTGAGACCCCCTTGCAGAGTAGTGGAGAGCTTGGCTTTTGGAGTCAATGATATGGTCTCAGATCAAAGCTCTGCCTATGGCAATAATGTGACTCGGGGCTCTGCTGAGTGGCTTCTCCACCTATAAAATGGGGCTGATAGAATTCTCAACTCAAAGGGTTTTACTGTTTGTTTTTTAATATATATTTTTTACAGAGAGGAAGGGAGAGGGATAGAGAGTTAGAAACATCGGTGAGAGAATCATCAATCAGCTGCCTCTTGCAGACCCCCCTACTGGGGATGTGCCGGCAACCAAGGTACATGATGCCCTTGACCAGAATCGAACCTGGGACCCTTCAGTCCACAGGCTGACGCTCTATCCATTGAGCCAAACCAGTTTCGGCAGTTTTTTAAAACTTGTTTAGGTAATGAAGATTCAGCTTTCAAAATAGACATTAGAATGGAAAATAACTAATACAAATCTCATAAATTAGATCT